TCTACTGGAAAGTGACACTGATAGTCATAAGGATCTGAAGCACAGTCCATCTCACTACAAGTGCTGTAAGTTAAATCAACATGTTGGAGGATGTGAGTAATAACAAGTGCACTGTTTTGTCTCTAGCTGATGACAGTAGGTACTTCGAACTTTTCATGTTAGTGTGATGCATGAAACAGAAATTATAATACTTGAGAAACGTGTATCCAAGCAGTCATTTCCTATTAAGTTTCAGGGAGCAGACAGGAAACTTGCTGCTAACTGACAAGTTGTAATTGTCATTGCCATCAGTGCAATATCTTGGGTCTTGGCATGTGACTTAGCTTTAAGGATGTCTTTTCTTTCTTGAATTTAATCTTTGTCTCTTCTGCTTTTCCACTTTTGGATGTTCATTTAGCATTACGTAGATCAGATGGATACCCTGGAAGAAATAAGTCAAGTAGTTATGAGGAAGAGAGGCTTGGCCACTGTCTGTGTTCTGGAACAACACTTCAGCAAAGAATGGTACTCAATGGATTGATGATGAAATTTTATGTGTGGAGCACTTTCTGCTCAGTGGACAATTTCTTGTAAAGGGAAGCTGGAATTTTATTAAAATTCTGAGGGTCCAAAATGTTCATGAGACTTACTGCATTCTAAAGAAGAGGTATTTCCATTCTTGCAGAGGTTCCTTTGCTTTCGTTTCCTGTGCCTATTAATGAAACATGAATAATTCTACTATTCTGTTATCTTGTCTAAAATCTCTTGTTCATCATGTTTCTTTTCTCTTCAAATCAGAAGAATTTTTAATGGTTGTTTCAGGTCAAGTTGACCATAAGCTTTCTAAATTCAATTGGTGAATTTAATTTAAAAGGACATCTCAAATTTTAAGGAAAACAGCTCACGTTTAGTCAAGCCTCTCTAGTTTCTGTTTAATATATATTTTTAATCTATACATCTTTAAGCACATATGTATGCGTATATATGTGATCCTCCTCTTTATATGTATATATACACATACATATATGTGTATGTATGTGTATTTATATTGAGAAAGATGGATTGAATGATGTTTTTAAATGCCTTCCATCCCTTTAAGCCATAAGACAATAGAGATATTTTACAGACTTTCAATCCATTTTTTGGGAAAGGATTTCTTTGAAATTAGTAGCAATCCTGGACTCTTTTAAAAGATGGATGTGGATCACAGTGCTGTACCCCTCCCCTCAAATGCCCATCCAAACTATTTCTTGCTGTCAGAAAACAAGTCCCTGCCCCTGATTCTGCAGCACAGAGAACCTCAATGAGGTTATTACTTGAACCACATGCAGTAGATGCAGAAAAGGAAGAGATGGTCAAGAGTAAATGACTCCATAATATTTCTCAAGAATAACTTGTCAGTCATGTGAAATGCATTTCTCTCTTGCTTAAAAAGAGGGGGAAAAGGAAGCCCACCAACTAAGCCTTAACACCATGCTTCTGTGTTTTATTTGATTGAATTTACTTGTTCATTAATATTTTTTGTGTTTGCTTTGCTTTCAGTTTTCAGGTGTTCTGTGCTAATTACCTCAACATTTTCTTACCTTATGTGTTGCTGAATGAAGAAGCCCACTCATGAAACCAGAAAAGGTTGACTAAGAAAGTGTGAGGAGGTGAGTACACAGCTGTGGGTGAAATAATGAGACACTTACAGAATCACAAAGGTTGGGAAAGACCTCCAAGATCATCAAGTCCAACCTTGACCCAATACCTCCGTGCCCATTAAACCATATGGTGAGGTGCCATGTCTTCTTGCTTTTTGAACATTTGGAGGGAAGGTGATTCTGCTACTTCCCTGAGGACTCTGTTTCAATGCTTAGCCATTCCATCAGTGATCCAATGTCTATGCAGGACCAGGAATCCACAGATTACATTTTCAAAGTCTTGAAACTGACCTCTTGAAAACTTGTGGCTAGCAGCTGGGAGAACTGGGGGTGAGGATCCCATGGAAAACTGGAGGTACGGATTCAACATAACAGCTCTAAAACTTTGATCCATACTTAATATAGGAGCAAGTACAAAAATAACCCTAAATACATTTGGTTTTGGGTTTTTTTTAGAGCTCTTTACCTTGGACACTTTTACTGAGTGTATTTTTAAAAATATAATGATGTTTGCTGTCTGTTCCCAATGCTAAGGAAAATGTTCTGTTGACTTAATTGTGTCCAAAACAGGAACATCATACATTTATCACAGTGTTCTCAAGCTTCATTCAAGAGCCTTCATAAAAAGTGTTTATCAGTGTTGTACCAACGTTGTCCTCCTAGGAATCAATTAAAATGTTTAGAACAAAAACTTATTTGTTGGTGGAAGGCAGTTTTTCACCTAAATAGTCATGCATTAAAGGCATATTTTATGTCAGATTTTAGCTGTGGATCTCCTTTATTAATATATTTAAAGGCCAGACAGGAGCACTAGTTTACATGGTGTGCCTTTCACAGAATAGGATTTCCATATTGCACAAATATGCCCTAGAAGGCCCACCTGCAAGTTTTTACTTTTATTTTTATGTTTGTTCTTGCATTTCAGTTAACCCTGAAATGCAGTCAAAAATGTGTGTCAAAAATTTGCTCCTCTCCAGCCCTTGGGGCTAAGAGCAGAGCTGAGGGATCACATGGTTCAAATAGCCAAAGATTCAGCCAAAGGTCAGGGGCTTCAGCACAGTGTGTGAGAGATAGTGTCTGATTTAAGCAGAACCTTGGTGTTGGTGCTCTCTCACATTCCAGTTGAATGCATGAAACATGGGGAAATCCACTGCTGCATTTTGATATATACAATTTTTATATTAAACTGTTGAAAGGTTGGTTCTGTCTACTGCCTTGCTGGGACAAAAATAATTTTTGAAACATGAACAGTTCTGGTTAAATGAAAATTCTTTTTCCAGATGATCTGAGCTAAAAAACCTCACAGGAAGCATACAGTTTTTATTTGGCAAAGAAATACTGAAAATGTCTCAATTCACCCCTGCCTCAAAATTAAACGGTTTTTCTGTACATAACCTGAGGCAGGTTAAATCCCTTTACTGTAAAAATCTACAAAGTAATCTTAACCTTGAAGGATTAGGGCATCCCCCGTTTTTTTTGTGCAGGTAGGTCAGGTAATTAGCAGCTTAATCACTTTGCAGGTGTGCAAACTGTCAGTGTACTAAGTGTGCTAATAATGGCCTTGATCAGCTCCTCCCGGGGCTCCTCCCCACACGCAGGGGACTCCACAGAAGCTCATCCCGCTGGCCTCACTTTCTCTGAGATACAGGGTGTTCCTGTCTTGCAGGCTCCCCTCAGCCTTGCCCCTGGGGGTGTTTGGACCTGGCTCTGGACCTGTGCTCCAGGTGTGTTCTCCTAGTGGACCTCAGTGGCTATGTGCTCTTGCTTGTCCTTATCTCGGTCTCTCTTACCATCCTGGCTGCACTTGCTGGTGGAACCCGGGATCTGTTTCACTGCTGACTGTGTCTGGGGCTATTGATGAACCCAGTTACAAATACCTGGCATGCTGCCATGCTTAAGGCCCTCTGGGACTGCGCCCTTGGTTGTTGTGTGCTGGGGTAACTTTCTGCTCGTGGCTCACCTTCCCTTGGGGAGCAGGCAGCCCTTGCTGCTCCATGATGAACATGTGCCTGTTTGCACGCAGAGGTACAGAAATGGTGCAGGGATGGTACATGCAAACTGGAGGCAATTCTCTTGAAAATTTGAACCATGCTCTTTAATGTAACTTTAATTAGAAAAGTGTTGACAGACCAAAAATTGAGGCAGTAAAAATAGCACCATTATGAAGTTTGATTTTTTTTCAGCATATAAGACACTGGCTCTTTATGAATCAGAGTTTTGCTATCAGCCTGATTTTTCCAAGTGACCAAATGTGTTTCTGTAGTTATTTTTTCCCTAGCATCATTTGCAGGAAATGTGAAGACTTACGCTGCATATGAAAACCGACAATCCTTCCCAATAATTTCTTTACTATTCATTTTTAATCTGTCATGCCTCTTAATGCAGCTGAAAAATAAGCTTCACATGCATGGAAATATCCATTTTGCTGTACAATTTATAGACAGGTATTTTAGTGTGTTCTTATTTACACATTGTCAGATGATTGCTAGTGTTTATTAAACTTCTAGCTACTTTCTTCAAATTGTAATAGGAAACCTTTCTGAGCAACATAACTTGGAAGGAGGTAATGAGGTTCAGCTGTGTCACGGGATTGTGGAATTAAGTTGAATGAGATTCAGAGTAAACACAGATGTTTGCAAAAGCCACATGTAACTTTTTCAAAACAACATCAAGGAAGAAAAACATTTATCTTTGTGTATATCTTTGCCTTTTAATTACTGTGCCTAATTACACTGTTGTGAGTGAGTCCATGTCCATATTCAACTAGGCTTGTGGCTGACCTTTTGTCAGCAACAGGTATAGCTCCTAGAGCAGAGAAGCCTTTGCGATGTCTAACAGGAATGTAAGGAATATGGCTTTATTTTTTTGGACCAGACTGGGTTCAAGCATACCCTTAAGAGCTAAGCAGGTTAAGTCAAACTACTTGTTGTGTTTGGGGCTTACTAATACATTCAGTTGTCACTATGTGTATTTTTGTGCCTTTCTTATGGGTGGGTCAAAATAATACATTTATCAAACTATTTTATCATGAGTTGCATCACTGAGGTATTTTTTGTGTTGCTGAGGATTATTTAGAAACTTAGTATACGTAAACATGTTCTAACTAGAATATACAGGGTATTGTAAAGAATAATCTTTCCCATAAACTGCATTTAGCAAGTTATTCTGTGCAGAGTCCATCTTTGTCACTGCATAAGAACAACAGGGGAGGAATTATGCAAACTCAGCTAATATTTTCCAAAAAAGGGAAAAAGCAGGAAAAGTTGGGGAGAATGAAAGTATGTGCATTTGTGCGTGGGGGTTGTTGGCTTTGCAAACTGACAAACAATATCAACTTGTAATGTGGTTAGGAATTACTTGAAACGTGGAAGAATCTTAAAAAGATTGACTTCACTGTAAAGCATGAAGCGGTACCTCTACAGTCCAAAGAAGTGTTGGTTATCAGAAGAAAATGTGTACTTTTGGAGGTGAGATCAGTTTGTGCTCTGAACCAAATGATTTTTCATTTTTTGTTCTGATAACAAGCTGGAGGCAAGCTTCACTGAACTGAGAAATTGTAAACTCTTAGAAAAGGCTGTAGAAAGATAACAATTCTATGTTTCTGCGTAATGTATTCTGAATGAATCTGATAATTTAAAGCCCACTCCACCAAAATGGGAGTGATGCTTGTGTCCTCTTTATCTTCAATTACGTCTAATTGTTTCTAATTTAAACATGATAATGCTGTTGTCAGATCAAATATAGATTTCAATGTTTTATTCTTCTCCATTGGCAATGTTTTAAATGTATGTGGGCTTTTAAATGTATGTGGGCAGTACTGACTGAGTCTATAAAAGTTTTAGGTAAATTTAAAGGAAATAAGAATGCTTAAAACTGAAATGGCTCATAGTTCATGAGATGAAACATATTTAATGAATGTTGCCTAACTTTTCCTTAGCTGCCAATCTCCATGGACTACCTGCTTAACCTCTAAGGAACCCTAATTCAGTAAGTTGTATCTTTCAGGTGAAACAGCATGGGTTTAGAAACAGATGTTTTAAAAACAAGAGTGCCCTTTAAGCTTGTTATTCAAGTATTTTCCAGGATATGGATAAGTTAAGAATAACTATGATTTTATGAACTGTTATGATATATCTGTCGCTGTCAATATCTTGGAGTGCCAATCAGCATTTCAGTCAAAATAAAAACTGCATCGACATGATTTATCAAGGTATATTCTCAAGTATTCCACATTCTGACAACAAAAAATGTAACAAAAAGAGCTTTCCCAACTAGACATATATTTTTGAGGAAGTGAAGCTAATGTGAGCACATTGCATTTTGAATGTCCTTTCTCATGACCTCTGTATTAAGGAATATTCACAAGTTTCAAATAAAACAGCTGATAAATTATTTAAAAGAAGATTTTTTTTCTCCTCCATGATCAAGAACTAAATGAAGAATCCACCTGTATTCTTTGAAAATTCAGTTAACGAAACATTGAAATGATCTAAAATATATTCTGATTGCAGGCTAATTATGGAGTTTGGTCTCAAGTTAGAAGTAATTTCTTTATTTGTGCTTTCTCCTCATCTTTGGATTTGTCAATGGAGTGTTGTTTGGGCATATGGGTCTCAGTGACTGCCAAACTGATAAAAATAAGGGGAGAGATGGTGATGTGTGTGGTCTGGTCCCATTTCTTGTTCACTTGTTTTGGGGTTTTAGAAGGGTTGGGGTTGGTACAGAACAATCGTTCAGTTTTGTGTAATCTGCTAACTTGCTGAGGCTGCACTCAATCTCAGTCTGTGCCGTTGGTAAAGATGTTAAAAACCACCAGTCCCAAGACAGAGCCCTGAGGGACACTGCTCATCACCAGCCTCCACATGAATGTAGAGCCACTGACCATCACCCTCTGTGCCCATCCAGCCCATTCCTTATCCACTGAGTAGCCCACCCTTCCCTTCCATGTCTGTAGAGGATTTTGTGAACAGTTGGCTAGCTGACAAAGGACATACTAATATAATGCCGCTAGTTGAGCAAGGAGAACAGGACAAGAGTCGGGAATCAATGTCTAAAAGCGGCAAGGTCACTGTGCCCTTGCCGAAACTTGAGGTTGTGGGAGAGGTTTGTTAGCTAGCAAGAATGAAGAAACAATAAGAGAAACCACAACAAGGTAGACACAAGAATGTAAACGTAGGCATAGTTCACTGATAAAAGACTAACCAATAATGAGCTCACTTTTTGCAATATGCATTAGCCTTATTAACACTGTTATAAATGTGTGTGCCTATTCAATAAACTTCTGAGACTTGCTGGTCACTCATATTGCGTGCCGCATTTCTCCTGCCGAACTCCACACATGTCCATTTCCAGTTTGGAGATAAGGATGTTCTGTGAGACTGTGTTGTGGGCTTTACAGAAGGTTAGGTAGATGACATCACTTTGTCTTCCCTCACAGAAAGCCATCATATTGCTCTGGCACAATTTGTCATTATTGAAGCTCTGCTGGCTGTCTCAGATCATCAACTTGTCTTGTACATGTTGTTTTATTGTAGTTTTCACCTTGCTTAGGCTTGCAAGAGCTGTAATGGAAGCATATATGGAAGGAAACTCTTTATAAAAGAATGTTGATTTGCAGCATCTATCTTGTTATTTCCAAAAAATAATCCTAAATCCTGCTTGAACAAGACTTGACTACCATTTGGCCTTGAAAAGCAATGCTATGAGAAAGTGTCAAATTATTCTGAATGACTTCACGTTTTCATATGGAAAACAGCAATGCTGAAAAAGAAAAAGAAATGCCATTAGGATGCCAGTAGCTGGTAATCAGGAGCCTGACTCCTTAGCTGTCAGATGTTTACTCTGAATTCAGAGGGAATAGGTCACAGCCGGTCACTGCAGAACAGAACTCAGGCCGTTGTGTTATATCGTGATATGTCTAGATAAAAAAGAACTGTAATAGCTTAAATTTGGTCCAGAATTCCCAAGAGCTGGGGTATGTCAATCCTATGTGGCTATGCTACTGAAACTTTTTCACAGAAAGAGTCCCCAGATTTCATAAAGTTTAGCTAGAAATTTTCTGCTGAATATTAGCTTAAACATTCATGTACAGATTTTGACTATAATTATTAGCATTCATATAATGGACTCTATCTGCTGTAAACTTTTATCCCTTTGCTTATGCAAAAGATTGATGCATTTGTGTTCCTAAGGATCCAATCATGAACAAAATAACTGAGAAAGGGAGTTGCTTGTTCAAATTTGTGCATAGATAATTTTTGCAGACTAATCTGGGTGCTTTTGAATGACAAACTCAGAATATAAAATTATATATGTACACTTAGAGAACAAAGGTGGGTTTTAGCATTTTATTTATAATAAAACAGCATAAAGTTGGATTAATTTCTATTATGGCTATAGCTCTCTTTTTGTGTTGCTGCCTTATATCTGTCCTTCAGTGCTAAATATACTAATTGGTTTGCTCCTTTATTTACCTGGAAAAAGCTCATTTGACTGGTTTGCTCAGTGCAATGGTCTCATTCATTGTATTGTTAAGAGCAAAGTGGATACCGAAGTGTGACATACTGAGGATAGCAATTATCTATGTGGATAGGAATGAAAAAAAATTATTCAAAAGAGGAATAACTTTCTCAAATTTCACCCTAATACCTTGTGTAATTCAAGTAGGACCTAGAAATTCATTTCTATAGGGCTAAATGCAGCTATTAATCTCTTATTACACAAATGAACAAGTGAAAAGCTCACTTGGGACCCTTAAACGCAGAATTGTTTCAAACAAGTTTCTTAATGTTTATAATTCTCTCAACATGTCCTCCTCTTAACCCTTACTGTATTTGAAATATTCTCAATTGTCTGCTACTTCTGTTGTTAGACTGGAGAGCAAGGCTGCCCAGATGAGAGATGTTTTGCCTTGCTTTTATGTTAATTTGCAGGCTTCATGATTTTAGAAGTGTGTGTACAGGTATATGTCTAAATACATATATGCTTATACATTTGTTTATAGTGGCATAATTGACGAGTCCAGCAATTTTCTGTGAAGTGTTGACAGCGAGCAGACCTTTGTTTGCAGCGAAAAAAATGTGATCATCAGTACATCGCAGAGGCCTGGAACTCACAGTCCCCATTAGCTTTATGCGTTACTGACCTCCACAGGCTTTTCAGGGGAAGACACAGCAGGAAGAGACGAAGGTCAGTACAGAAAGTGTTACTGCTTTTGCAGGCAAGTATTGTGTATTTAATCATTGCCTTACACCATTTTTGCATATAAGGCTGGGCTGTTCTTTCTGCTAAAATCATTGGTCCGTAAGAATTTTTTTCTTATTTCAATCTGAGGGTCAGTGATAGAAAGCACTGTAAAGTTCCACTGGCTCAATGTCACATGATGCTTCAAAACCCAAGTGAAGCTGTGATCATGTCAAAGTTCTCTGGGTGCCACTGCATCCAGATCAAGACACAACTGTGTGCATTATTCTTCCTCATTGGTTCACACCAAGTTTGTCTGTGTATATGAAACCCAGATTTGAAGATGTGATGAAATGTGAGTAGAACCCCTTTCTGTCCCATTCCAACAGCTGGATTTAATGTTTATTTTCTGTTTGCATAGAATTTATTATTAATTAAGCAAAGTGATGTGATACTCATTAATGCATGTGTGTTTATATTTTGAATACAGAAAGGCTCTTCCTTATCTATTCACACATCTAAAAGTATAGTGAAGGGAGTCAATATTTCCTTAGCATCCAGATTTAGGCTACACAAAATCCTTGAAGCAGAAGAGAATGTTTGAGTTTGAATAGACATACAGAGAATTTTTTAATGTGTAATATTCTTTGATTATCTGAAAATGTAAATCTATTACCTAGGTAATTAAAAAAAAATAGAGCAAGTCCAGAATCCTAGTAAATTTCCTGATACTTCTTTAACAGCAAATACACTGCTTTCTAAATTTTAATATTTTTCACGTGTTAAGGGTGATTTCATGGTGACTGGGATCCACCAGCTGTAGAATCCAGCTTACCATGACGATGGACACTGGGCAGCAATTCTGTTAGGTCACAGGCTGCAACATTAACCAGAGGCACCTTTTTATACAGTGGAACCCTGAAGACTTGGCCTGGCTGTTGAAGGATTCCCACAAGTTTGTAAATGTATTATTGGAACTGTAGCTCATTTACACTAATACTGATTAAGAGCATAAAAATCTTGGTGGGGGAATACACAGACAAATCTTTAAAATTAAATTTTCAGGGCAGAATTGCTGATTTTTATTGGACAAAATGAGGAAATCAACGTATTGATCTGACTCTATGCTCTTCATCTTTTATTCTAAAGAAATAAACACAATCCATGCCTGTGTGATTGCATGACCCTAGTTAAGCAAACTTTAGATGAGCTCTTAGTTGTTTATGGTACTAAAGCCACATAAGCATGCCTTATCAGCAACAAAGTAGTACAGACATAAGCTGTGATAGAAAAAAAAATATAGATGGAGTATTTTGTAGTAGGCTTTAAGTGACTATAGAGTATTCTGTTTTCCAGGGGCATGCTACTGTCATGTGTTGCTACAAGTGTCTGGCTTGATTCCCAGGCCTGTGGCTCAGTTCTTGAATGGTCAGGAGGAGGAAACACCACAGAGTTAAAGAGATATGTCTTAAACAAAACAGGCTCTGGGTATGCTTAGCACATATGCAGAATGAATATTTGAGGAAGGAACTTTGAAATAATCCCTGTTTGGGTTTTTGCTCGAGTTTTCTGGACCTAGGAAGTCTTCTCAAGTGGCCTAAGAAAATATTTGAAATTATTTCGTTTGTGAACTGAACAATATTACAAACCGAAGTCTTAGACTTCTGACTTAGTTTAACTCACTTGTATAAAAAAGCACTAGTAGTTCATTACCATAACCCTGCTTTGAATGGAAATGCATTAGTGGTGTCTGCACGAATAAGCAATGAAGAGCAGTGAGAAGAAAAAGCCTCACACAGTACCATGTGAACCTACAGTGTCTGCCTCAATTTGTACCTTTTCAGTATCTGACAGTGAATGATAACATTATTGCAATGGTATTTACTGGCACTGCTGGAGTATGGGGTCTGTCATTTTTTTCTATTCTGAATTGTTGTGCATGGCTTTAAAAAGTGCCCAAGGCTGAAATGTGTTTCAGAGGTCGTCAAGGAGGAAACAAAGTGGTTTTTTTCACTACTTTTTATGAAATTCGGCAAAACAATTTGAAGCTGGAGGAGTTCCAAACCTAAATGCACGTTATTATGGATTCAGATGGATAAGATGGTTCCTGGTGGGGATAAGTTTGTCATAGCTTCTTTCAGGAAATTATACAACTGTCTTTCGTTTTCTTCTATGTTTCTTTAGCCTAAAGAAAGAAGGTTTCAAAATGGCTATTTAATAATCCCCAAGAAGAATAACCTTTGCAGCAGTCCTATTTTGTAACATAAGAACTATGAAAACCTGGCCTTGGATGGATTATAACAGAATCCTGTCTATTGACTTATATTTTATGATTAAGTCACTAATCTGGCATCCAGCTTTACTTGCATTTGTTCAGAATGACAGGAGTCCCTTTCAGTGGTCATCACAGATTTCTCTTTTCATCAGCTTTTCCTCAGAGGTAATTGCAGCTGTACACAAGCCATTCAGTCTCCAAAAGAGGACAAAATTTATTTTAATGTCCATGAGTGCACAGTTACCTCAGAGATGAAGTTATTGTTGTGGAAGAATAGGAAAAGCTCCTGCTCTGATGAAACAGAGTGCCTGACAAGATTATGAAGCAAAAGATCTTCCTTATTTTTTTATTTATATATTTTTACATGAACAAAACATTGTTCATCTTTAAACTATAAGTTCATTTAAGCTTGAACTCATTTTACAGAACCCAAATATTTTGTAAAGCTTATTTCTAGTACATTCTATTGGTTTTAGTATCTTGTATCATAAAGATTTTGCCACTGCAGTGGAATTGCTGTCACTGTAAATGGGAGTGTTGCAGCTAACTCTTTTTTGTTGATGAGAATTTGTGATACTTATGAGGTACTTAAAGTTTTGAATTCAATGAATCATTAATCCCAAAGCAAAAACATATGTTTCTGCATGTTAGGTGGACTTTTTTTTTTTTTTTTTTTACATTCTAGTCTACTGATTTACATGTGGAAGGTACTTATAACTGTGGTTATACATCATCTTTGAGTGTCTCCTAGAGCAGTTTGCATAGTGGAGTTATTTCTCAGGAATAAAGTCACTTCATACTGGTGTAGAGCACCCAGACAGTGAGTTACTTAGAGTAGCTGTAATGCAGTCTTGTTTACTGAATACATATTCTAGGTGTTTTTTTTCTGGAGAAGTTAATGAGAGAACTTTTGGGATTTTTTTTTCCCCCATTAATATGAATTCCATTAAAAGATCCAGTTTTAGTTGGAGTCCTTATTTATACTAAAGCGGGAAAATGTATACTTTTCTTTGTTTCCCTGAGTATCAAACATTTTCTTAATTGAATTTTCTTTGAGAATCTTGAGACAAATTCAGCCAATGCATTTTTTGATTGTAACCTGCTTATCTCAGGCTTGAAATTTAGTTTTTTTCTAATTTGTTACTTGCACACCTCTCATCCATTAATGCTACTAAAAAGATATTGAATAAGAAGTGAACTGATCAATATTTGTGGAATTTTAATACTTTAGAAATGTGTTTTTACTTTGAAAACAAGCAAAAAAGTCAAACCATAAAGTTATGGATTCCTTTGCTACAACAAACAGAATTCTAGCACAAAGGATAAAAATCCTCTTAAATTACTTTTCGGCATCAGTAGGTTTTAAATGTTGAAACTCATATTGTTGCATTTGTATACCATACATATTCATAAATATTCACCTGCTGATGAGTTGGAAACCATTGGCATTGCTTAGAATGTAGTAGGAGCTGTTTGTTTATTTTTTAAAATTTTATAGACAAGTATTAAAGATTGGATGAAAACCCCATGGAAACAAATAAATGATGAGCACATGGAGATGTAGCTCAGAAGATTTGCAAATGTGATCATTTCCCTAATGAACAGTGTTTCGCTACTTGAAATAATCTCTCGTGTTCTGAGTACCCTGCATTATGTAGGAGCCTGTAGCTTGTTAAATTCCCTTCATTAGAGGGTTTTTGAACTCAAAGGATTAAAAAAATTGGGGAAACGAGTATTACAGGATTGAGCTCCCAAATCTCAAAGTACTTCTGAAAATATCCCTCTGAGTTTATTTTTTCTTCCATAACCAGCAAATTACCCAGCTGGCTTTCACATAAGATTCAGAAGTCAAATTCCAAGATGCAGTCACTAACCTGCTTGCTTCTTTACTGCTTCTGTCATTTTGTTCACAATGTCTGCTGTGTAAGAAATGAAGACCTGTCAAAGCACTAGGACATGGGATATGCACTTATCAATCAAGGATTAAGCATCTGAAAAGAGCTGAAGTTTAAGAAATTAAAACTTCCTGTAATTCAGAACCCAGCATTTAGTGGCACAATAGTCTTTGTATTTTAGATTTGCAGAATTTTGGATAACTTTATTCCTGCAATGTTTGTACCTTATTTCTAAGGCAAAGTTTGTCAGCTGTATAGCACATGGAGGATTTTTCATTGTACAGCTGCACAGAGGAGCTGTGAGATAAACAGATATGTGTAGCTAAAGCAGTAGGGAAAATGGCAGTAAAAAGAGATAGATGCACACAATGGTGAATGTAAACTAACATCCTAGGGGTGGCTTATAGGAATTAAATGTAATCTGAACACGTAGGTACACAGTTTGTGGTGATTGGGAGTGGGGCTGTGGCTGTGCCTCATCCCCAATGGGCTGCAGCTGTGAAAAGCAGGTGAGCAGCACTGACAGCAATGAGCCATGGAGTGCCCAGGTGTTACTGAGCAACCACCAAAGGGAACAGAGGGCACACAGGTGCCATGCATCAACAATGAGGGGCACACAGGTGCCATGCATCAACAATGAGGGGCACACAGGTGCAATGCATGAGCATGAGGGGTATGAAAGGTTGGGCTAAAGAACAAGAAGGTTGCAGCCTTCTGAAGTGATACGGTGTTACTCTGTATGGGCAGGCACCTGA